CACAGGAAGAGCTCATAACATGTGTGTATTTCTCGATGTTTTAGTGCTGGAGTAACAGTTAAAACTAAACCAGATCAGATCAACAGCTAAAAATCTGTTTTTCATTCAGGCTGATTGAAACTGAAACAGAGAAGTTTCACTTCTCCTGTGTGAAGACATCTGCTGACTGCACACCTGCTTCAACACTTTAGGATGAAAACCGTCCTTTCAAAGATGATGTCAGACTTTAGTTACAGTGCAAACCTTTTACTACAGATAAGAAAATAAAAGGTATTTAACACAGAAAATCACCAGCACTCAGTGAGTTTAGTTCAGACTACAAAAGCAGAAACACACCAGGACAAACTTCACGTCACTGATCTAAATCTTTGAGCAGGTCTAACTTGCTTTAAACAGACTTCACACAGTTCGCCCAGAATAAACCGAAAAGCCTCAGAGGCCGTTTGTAAAGATGCTGCTTACCCGAGCCCCGCCAGATCTGAAACCAGGTTCCCCAGAGCCGCCGCTGCAAACACAAAGAGACACACACTTTGGTTTCTGCCGCTCTCACAAAGAACAACAGCGAGCACGGTGACAGACACAAATGCATCAGGCACACAGAAAAAGAAATGCTGAGGATTTGGGAAACTCAGATGTTAAGATCTGCATAAATCAAATCACTTTATGAAAATAAAGGTGTCACGTGTGATTTATGTGAACAGTATCGATCTCTTTCAGTCATCTTCTCATTCCTCTTTCAGAACTTTGACTTTAAGAAGCTTTATAGTTTCACACAAACTCCTCCTGAGACTCTCGCAGAAACACGAGGTTTATTCAGACTGAGTCAGAAGTCTGATAACCATCATGTTCCTCTGGGAGGCTCAGCGCCAAAACCTCTGAAGGAAATCTGCTCACTGCTGTGCTGACGACTATCAAACACAATTCAAGCCTGACACATTACACACACACACACTTGCACACACACACATACATGCACGCACATGCACGCACACACATGCACGCACACACACACATACATGCACGCACATGCACGCACACACACACACACATACATGCACGCACACACACACTTGCGCACACACACACTTGCGCACACACACACTTGCG